AAACAGGAAGCATTGAATGAGCAAGAAGTAAGAGGCTGTGAAAAGTAAGGGATAAAGAGTTAAATTGAAAAGGAATAAATTGGTTTGGGTTCTACGTAAAAATAGAAGGGAACTACGTGGAAGCGTTTTTGGATGCCAAATGTTGTTAGGGAACTAGAGGCTGTGAAAGTAAAAGAATTAGCTAAAAGAGGGAAACGGGCTTGAGGTAATGGAACAAAATGTGTTAGAATAATAGCGAATTTTTCGAAAATGTTCTTGCTTCTCTGTAAAATCCTTATAAAAAGGAATCATTTTCGCTTGAACAAAGTGTGTGCCTTCCCCGCCTAAAAAAGTAATAAAGTTAATAAATAAAGACCCCTAAAATTCCTACTCAGAAAAAATAAAATTCACAAAGTAGAACGCTCTTTCAGGACCCCTTCACTTACCCCATCCTAACTCTCTTAATAACGCTCCTTAATCGTCGCCCTAGACCAGTGCCAAATCGTCCCGCCTCTAAGACGTTGAGGAACGTTACGCGACATACCACGTTCGCTAGCGACAATTCGTCGCATTTCTTAATTGCTTTTGTGTGTGTAATCCCACCGATTCGCTAGTAACACTATGTTAGCCTAAGCTGCATTCGGAAATAACAAAGATACGTATACAAGTTCAGATCCATGTGACGATGTAACATTGTGAAATTTAAGTGCATTTGATGCATTATCCAATCATTCACGAGTTTTTGTGGACGAACATTATTTAAATTGCCATAACAATACACTTCGTGATTTGCATCACTCCGTTCCTGATATATCATCCGTAATATTTGCATCTTACTCCGTGACATTTTGTGGGGGAATAATTATACCAGGAACGAACGATAAAACTTTTAAAGTTCGCTTATGTTAGTTAGCGTTCACTTAGAGTTGGAGGAAAAATTTTTTGTTAAGCGAACATTTTCCTGATTGTGTAACATTACAGCTAATCTTGGAATTTGTTTTGAAAAAAATGAATTTATAATGATTATCTTATGACCATAGTACATTTGTTTGTTTTTTTGTACAGTTACAGATAACATTACGGACAATTTTTATATTTATTTATGATAAAACCGCATTAAAAAAATATTGACAATGAACAAATTTAGGATTCTTATGATTAAGAAATTATTACCATTAATTAAATATTGATTTTATCGATATTATCAACACATACCCAGCTTTATGCAGGAGCACTCGAGAAAGATGGTAACGTGAAATATGTGAGTTCCTTAGTAAGCAATTGAGCTAATCCCATGTACCACGCACCACATGCTACTAAAACTTTAAAAGAAACAATTATTGAATAATGTAATAATTTGATATTATATGTTGAACATTTACCTCCAAATGATCCGCCAACGCGAGTCCAAGCTTCAACACCCGTAAAATTAGCAATATCGAGGGCGATAAATTCAATTATCACAAAAATGAAAGTTAAAGAGGCGATATATGTAGTCTTTAGGGATGCAAGTAACATGAAAAATGAGACTACGATATTGAAAGAAGTCGGAATTTTTTGGTAAATGAATAGCAAACTCTGAAACCAAAAGATTAAATGCAGTATATGTGAATAGACTGTTGTTTAGTGCCAGGAATCGAATATCTTGATTATAGATAATGGTTGATTGGTGGATATTTTTAAATTATCACTAGCTGATGATCTACGTCAATAATGACATCAGCTATGTTTTCATATAAAGCATATCAATTTATTATTGGATCGTATACTATACTTTATCGGATTCAAATAACCGCGGATTGACCAAATTGGTAATCCGAATTATCCGGGCAAGCGCTACGTTAATGGTTAGAATTAGTAACTAACCATTATTAATAGAGGTAGTCATATAATCATCTACGTACGTACATAACGTTATGTGAATAATTTAATATGACTATCCTCACTTCAAGGCCACTTTGTGAACATGTGATATTTAAGATAGCAAAAAAAAATTTTTTTGATTAAAATAGGCGACATTTACGCTTTGAATATTCGCATGCGATATTTAGGCATATTCAAAACTTAAACATCACCTATTTGAATCGATAAAAATTCATTTTAATGCCTTCTCTACTGATACTGTGCGGTGTTTGTCGACAGATACTGCATTTTATCGAAATTAAATGATACCAACAAACAGTCCAAGCAACAAGATAGACGCCAACAGCTTTTCCCAACATCGCTTGATCGCCATTATATGAATCAATAATCCCAGAACCTGGAAGATAAATAAAACCAAAAGAAATCCAAAAAGCACCTGATAATAAAAAAAATAATAAATTGATTATTATGGAATTTTAAATAATAAAATATCAAGGTTTTTTGTTAATTTCAGGATACCATAAGAACAAGAAACCGTAGCAGCAAAAGTTTTTCCAGAGTATATTTCCCACATTGCGGCTAATAATTGAACAAGACCACCATAAAAAAGTGCAGCTCCAAGTCCAGCATGGCTATTTGTTATGTTTCCTACTTGAAGAAGATACATTGCATATATGAAAGTGGTGGATCCAAAAGCAAACAAACCTAATGGTGTGCACACAGTTTATAAATTAAAATAAAAAATTGTCTAGAGAATTGAAAACAAAGTCATGAAGCAAAATTTACCCAATGGACTGGAATTGCCAACTTCCCTTGGCTTCATAATGTGCTCATTATGTTCAATATCAATAACATCTTTACTATCCTCGAGCGTCATTTGAAGTTACTTTGTCTCAGCAAACAGATGGAAAGGCAATAGGATTATTTCGTCGTGAGATATCAAAAAATTAGAGGATTGAATTTATTTATTTTTGATTGAATCCTTATTGAGTCTTTACAACGAAAATCAATGTAATAGTGTTTATTCCATGTTTAGTTAAGGAAACAATTATCTATTTACTTATTTTGATTTATCGTCCTATGATCCCTTCCCTAATATCTAGCCTACAGTCAATGTGAATATAAAGTATTGTTTATGGTTTATTTATAATATCATTCAAGTGTGAACGTCTTCGCGTGTTATGATCTCCTAGTGATACTTGGAAATAGTTTATATTTATATACATTTAGGAGAAAAGACTTCCTCGCCGGCATGAATTAGCAAAAAAGGATTAAACTACTCGGACTTTATAACTTATTTGTCAAGTAAAAGAAAATGGAATGCTCTTTTAAGGTAATCTTAAATTGCAAATCTTGGAAATCAGTGTAATACACAAATTGTATTATATTAAATGAAAGTGAAAATAGGAGAAATATCGAAATAAATGTCCAAGTTTAAGTTGAGGACTTATATTCAGCATATTTAGATGCTGAATAGAATGGGTGCATTTATTTAATATCAAGATATTTAATAACGATGATGCAATTCACAAATATTCATTGTTTAACTATCCGTAAGTCACTGCCATGCCTGATAAAATCACTAACTTGTTTAACATTAATAGCTGAAGCACTAAAATGAGAAGGGGAATGAGTTGAATAAACAATAATCTAATAGCTATTATTTTATACGTATACACCACGGTTCTCTGTGCTACGACTTTGAAATTTTGACAAGCTTAAGCCCTGTGATCACCAAACTGTCCGGGCTTGAATTAGAAAGTATAAAACAACTTTTCCTTTATACAAATATAAGTGATGCACAGGAATTATCTATAAGTACGAATATAAATTTTCACTAAACTCAAAAAACTTGATATTATCAAATTTTCCGAGTTTAGTTAAAATTTAAATTCATACTTACAGTTTTCCCTGTGCATCATTCACATTTAATATATCAGAGTCCTTTTATATTTAATGATTGAAAATATACGATATATTTGACATTAATGTAATCTGTAAATATAAACCTATACTAAGATTATAATTTTATTAAGAAATTCAAATTCATCTAAATTCTGTTCCATATAAAAAGCAATCATGATTACATATCAGACCCATGCACTACAAGTAGGACTTATATAAGTAGCGAGCCTAATGTTATATGCATTTCCAATGAAATTCAATATCAATATAATTGAATCTGGGTTATGATCGAGTAATAGTAACCTTTTTTATGCAATTAGTTATGGTTGCAACTCAAACTCTTTTTTCAGTTACGGTGTTTCTACTTAGACTGGGTTTGGGAATCGGCATTTCTACTCGGATTGGGTTCATTGCCAAAATCTAATTATATACCTCATTGCAGTAAATAGTGTCAAACTTAAAAACTATCAATTCATTGTATGGTTGAACTTTAGTTTAGTGTGTACTAATACATGCAGTTGTCACAATGTGATATCATCAGAATGGTAATATGCTGTGGAACGTAGTGTTTTGATAAATGCATCACAGAGTCTGTTTTTGTTTACACCCAATAAATTCAAATAGGTATAATTCAATTAAATCTTTTTTCAATTTCATGAGACAATCTGTAACTTGATATCATTTTATAATCTTTTATGGTATTTGTATATGCATTTGTTTTAAGATCTACAAAATTTTCTAAATAATTAACTGTTTTGAAACCAAGTTTTTTGATATTTAGATATTTTTTTCAATAATCTGTATGAACAATATATCCTTTTTTAACATATTTATCTAAAATATTTTTGATTATTTCTTTATCACATTTTTGTAACTTTATTAGAAAATATCATTTTTACTTTATTTTTCTAATATTACTAATGATCTATGCACAATTAATAAATCTATTATAATGATATTTTCTTCTTCTAAATTAGATTCATTAATTTTAACAATGATTCTTTTATTACCTATTTTATTTTTATAATCATTTAAAGTATCAATAACTAATTCTCATTAGAATTTTATATAATCATTTATTGTATTCAATAAATTAGCTGTTATCTTTTTAATTGAATAATAATTATATTTAGATAACTAAAAATAACCAAACATCATTATAAGATTGTATTTTATATGTTCTTTTAAAAAGAATAAATTTTTGAATATTAAAACTGATTTTCTGTATTTTTTATTTATATAAATGAATTATTTATTATTTTTAAACAAGTTTGTTTTATATTTTTTATATTTTATAGATTTATATAAGATATTATTATCAAATAAAATTTTAATCTATTTATTTTCATCTATAAAAATCTTTTCTATTGAAATAAAAGTTAAATATAATATTATTAAAATAAAATATAAATTATAACTTTTTATATGAATACTATTTATATAATTAATAAACAAGAATTTAAAATTCATTTTTTTATTTTGTTATTGTTTTTTTTTGTCTTTTTTGACTTTATAATAAACAAAAAAAATACTTATCAATAAGAGATAATTTTTAATCAATTTTTATATCAGTTACATCAATATAACTGTTATTCCTTATTATACTTTTCTTATTATCTTTAGTTTTTTAATAGTTTTTATAATAGAAATATATTTAAATATTATTGTTTTAAAAATAGAATTAATATTAAATAAATATTAATTTAGTTCTTAATACTATATAATCTTTTGATACTTCTTTTTATATCTTATTTTTTAGTTACAATTTAGTCATAAAATTATCTTTTGTTCTTAATAATAATAATGTAAAAATGAATATATTTTTGTTTTAATTAATGAAATACAATTATTTAAAAGTTTATGTTAATCATATTAAAAGTTTGAATTTTTCATTTTCAATTCAGTCTGGAACTCAATACATGATTAAAAAAATATTTCATTTTTGAAATGTATTTGTCTATTTTAAGATAGGTTTCAGATTTCTTTTTGTATTTTAATGTAATTAAAATTAAATTTTAATTAGTAATAAATATCTAAATTATATTTCTGTATAAACTGATTAGAATACAGATAAAAAAATTTATAGTAAAAAAATTTCTAATCAAACTATTGGCAGATGATGAATAAGAGTTATAAAAATAATTTAAAATCTGTAGGTTTCATTATATAATATAATAATATAAAATTTTATATACTTTTGAATTTATAAAAAATATTTTCTCTTATAGATTTTTGCTAAATACTACTGGATAAAAAGTAGTTTAAATCTGAAATATCTATTAGATCACATAATTAAAGTTTCATATACTTTTCAAAATTAAAAATATATAGTAAATTATTTATTTTGCTATTTTATCTAATTAAAAAATAAAATTTTCTTTGTTTTTTTTATTTATTTAGTTATAAGCATCGAATTGGTAAAAAAGAATAATATATAGAAAGTTCTGTATTAATATTTGTTTCTAGTATATAATAGATGTTTGATTGTTATTTTTAAAATATTTGTAAATTTTGCCAATAATAATAATATTATTATTGTATATAAATAATTAGAGTTTAAGTTTTTTTGAGATGTATTAAAAGTTATAGGCAAAAGGATTATGTTGAGTTTGTTGGTATTGTGAAAAGAGTATTCTAAAACTGTTGTTAGTGATTATAGTATTTTCTAGATATATAAATCAAGTGGTTTATATTCTTTAAATAACTGTATTAAGCAAGATAAAAGGTAATTCTATTGAAGTAAACTAGTATCATCTGCAGTGCAGAGTTGCTCAAGATAAAAATATTAAATTTTCTAAGTTGCTTTTTGAAAGTTGTATATTGAAGTATAAGAATACAATTAGTTCTAATAATTAAAGATTGTATTATATAATATTAAGCTAGAATATACTATTATTAACTGTTATAGACATATTAATATGTACAGTATAATAAGTTGAATAATTTTAAAATTTAGAGTATATTTATTAGGTTTATTAATGTTAGAAAGGTGTTAGAATAGATTTGTAGCAGACTAAAGGTTATTTTGTAACTGTTGTAATCAAAAACACATGTAGAAATTTTTAGTAAATAAAACTTGCTAATTTGTAAAATAAAGTTAGATATATTATATTGAAGTTGAATATTTCAAATATAATATACATTATATAAAAATAGATTATGCATGATGCTGTTTAAAATAGAACAGACTAGATAGAATTTATTTTAGCTACAGTTAGGTATTTAGCTAAAATTTTGTTGCATACAGAATGAGAAAAGACTATATTATGTATTTAGTATTTTAGTATAATAATAATAACTGTATTAATAATATAAATTATTTATTTATTTGTAATTTTTTGGTATTAGCAATGTTTGTAAATTGAAATGTTTTTTCTTAAATTAGTTTAATTTGTGCAGTTTGTTTGTTGTTAAGTATAAACTAGCAGCCAAAAAATTTAAAAAGTCTATTGGTTAGAATAGATGTATATATAAAATTAAAGAATTAGGTAGTAGTTTGAAGTTTTTTTTTTTTTTGGTATTAAGGTGAGGCCATGCTCATATCTTTATTAGTAGTTTTAAAGTTATTAACTACATG